CACAAGAAATCCATGCTGTCCAGAAGAGGAGAAAGCACCGTCTGCCTCGCCCAACCAAATCATCACTGCCACCCTCACCGTGTCCAATCTGTCAGCAGCAACATTGGAAGAAGGACTGTCCAGAAAACCGCCACGCTACCAGTGCCACCCAGGAGTCAAGGACTGCGCCACGACGTCGCATCAAGCAGTCATCACCACGCACCTGGTACCAACGCGTCATCGGCCGTCCAGGAGATGTCCAAAAGTACCTGGAAGTCCACATCATCCACATCAACGGACATCCCACCCGCCTCCAGTTGGACACCGGCGCCAACGTGCTCGGAAACCCTCATTTACAGAAGACCTCCGACGTCTTCAAAGGAGCCAATGGATCCCCACTACCAATTCACGGAAGCTTCGAAGCCGCTTTCGTGGTCATGGACAATCGAGGAAAGGCTCATCCCGGACATGGCACCTGCTATGTCTCCGACGACAACGACCTTCTCGGCATCACATGGATCGAGCAGATTCGAGATTTCAACCACGTTCTGAGGCGATTCAACGTACAGAAGGTCCAAACACTGAACAACGAGGCGCTCCGAGAACAGACGATCGCCAAGCTGAAGCACCAGTTCATGGATGTCTTCAAGCCCGGACTTGGATACTGCACCAAGACCAAGGCGACACTCTACCTCAAGCCCGATGCTCGCCCAGTCTTATCAAGAAGAGACCGGTTCCCTTCGCCTCCATACCGCTTGTCGACGCCGAGATCGACCGTCTCATGGCACAGAACGTCATCTCCGCCGTCGATCACTCTCGATGGGCTGCGCCAATCGTCGTTGTGAGAAAGGCCAATGGACCATTCGACTTTGCGCCGATTTCTCGACGGGACTCAACGACGCATTGCTGTTGCACAGGCATCCACTACCCACCGCGGAGGATGTTTTCACGAAGCTCAATGGCGGAACCGTGTTCTCCCAAATCGACTTCGCCGACGCTTACCTACAGGTCGAAGTCGATGACGACTCCAGAGAGCTCCTCACCATCAACACGCACAGAGGACTCTACAGATACAATCGTCTACCGTTCGGAGTCAAGTCAGCTCCTGGCATCTTCCAGCAGATCATCGACTCCATGATCGCTGGACTCAACGGCGTTGCTGCCTACCTCGACGACGTCATCGTCACCGGCCGCACTCTCTCCGAGCACAACGCCAACCTGGAAGCCCTATTTTCAAGGATATCCGACTACGGCTTCCGCGTCCGCATCGACAAGTGCCACTTCGTGATGACACAGCTCACCTATCTCGGAAACGTCATCACTGCTGCCGGACGCCGACCCGATCCAAAGAAGATCGACGCTATCTCCAAGATGCCAACACCGAAGGATACCGCCCAGGTCCGGTCATTCCTCGGACTCATCAACCACTACGGAGCATTCGTTCCAGAGATGCGCCAGCTCCGTGCACCGCTCGACGCACTACTCAAGAAGGAAGCTCCGTTCAACTGGAACTCCGAATGCGAAGCCGCTTTCGAACGCGCCAAGGAAGTGCTCGCTTCGGACCTGCTCCTGGCTCACTACGACCCCAAGATGCCCATCATCGTCGCGGCCGACGCTTCAGACTATGGGATCGGAGCAGTTATTTCTCATCGCTATCAAGACGGAACAGAGAAAGCTGTCTACCACGCCAGCCGCTCTCTCACCACGGCGGAGAAGAACTATGGTCAAGTGGAAGAAAGGTCTGGCGCTCGTCTACGCTGTGTGGAAATTCCATCGCTATGTATACGGGCGCCGTTTCACCTTGCTCACAGACCACAAGCCACTTCTGGCAATTTTCGGATCTAAGAAAGGAGTCCCTGCCTATTCCGCCAACCGATTGCAACGATGGAGACTTACGATGCTCGCCTACGATTTCGACATCGAGTACCGGAACACCGCAAGCTTCGGACAAGCCGACGCACTGTCTCGTCTCATCGCCATGCAATCGCCACCGGAAGAAGACGTTATCATTGCCAGTATCGCCAAGGGACGTTAACGCCATCTTCGCCGAGAACGTGAGCCGCTTACCGGTCACTGCCAAGAGGTTGCCCACGCAACATCTGAAGACGACTGTCTCCGTCAAGTGATGGACCATATCGCTCACAACAGCTGGCCGAAGAAACCATCACCTACCGTTGCGAGGTACGCCCATCTACGCAACGAACTCTCAACACAACAAGGATGCCTGCTCTTTGGAAGCCGCATCGTCATCCCGCCATCACTCCAGCCGTCTGTTCTGAAAATGCTACACGAGGGACATCCAGGAGTCAACCGAATGAAAGCCCTCGCTCGTCACTATGTCTTCTGGACGAGGATCAACGAGGATGTGGAGAAACTCGTCCGTGCCTGCAACGACTGCCAAGCGCTTCGTGGACACATTCAAGCGTACACTCGGAAAGCTGAAGAAGCACGGACCGACCGACGAAGCTCTCCAAACATTCCTCTTCACATACCGAATACGCCATGCACCGCTTCGCCAACGGAAGGTGTCCCGCAGAAAACTTCCTCGGAAGACGCCTTCGCAACACACTGGATCTGCTGAAGCCGGACAACAAGCAAGAACTTGTTGTGGACACGAAAATGGAAAAGCAGTTCAACCGTCAATACGGAGCCAAACCCAGGACGTTTCAACCTGAAGATATGGTCTACGCTCGCGACTACAGATCCGGACAACCCAGATGGACTCAAGGACGGATCCTATGCCGACGTGGACGCACTCTGTACGACGTTCAAGTTGATGGAGACGCCACGCCAACCAGCTCCTTCCTCACACGAGAGCTGATGAGCGCCTTCGACTTACCATTCAACGCCACATCGCCTTCATCATCGACGACGACTTCTACAACGCCCCAGTCTTCAATGGTTGCTGCTGCTCCAACAACAACAACAACGACTACAGTACCTCCTGCCACTGCAAGACGACGATCAAGCCGCACTCCCCTCCAGCATATCTTCAGATTGACCCGTACGCCAATTCGTACGGCAGCCGTCAAGTCTTAGGGGGAGGTGTTGTGGTGTGATCTCACATGTTTAGGTATTTGATCTTGTGCTGTATCTCTATCTCTGCCTGGTTTGACTGGATACTTTGACCAGGCAGAGGAGTATATAAACGGGTTATTTTCTATGTTGTTATACTACTGTCCTCCAATAAATGTTCTACTGTCGCCTTATTCTCAAGGACACAACAGTCATGTTTTCGGTTATGACTATATTGCATTCTTTATGGTCGTTCTCGCCGTCATTTAAAGGAGCACCCATGTTCCCTCGACCATATGCCGCGAACCCGAATACTGTTTTTGTAACCCGAAGTCCAGTTGGTAGTTGAACGGGAGGAGTACTCTCTGGAATGAATACATTGTAAAGGTCGATCCCTACGAGAATTTGAGGAACCTGGTGTTCGCCTTTGAGCCGGGTGTTCGCTAGTTGGATGGAATTTTCTTCCATGAACTCTATATCTGTTTCCATTAGGCGCACTGCCGGAAACCCTTTCGTGAGCGTTGGTTTTGTTTGCATTGTCATCTGTAGTTCTCTACCGTGAGCCGTGAGGACTTTCACTTGTACGTGGTGGGAGACAAATGTTTCGAGATCCCACTTATACCAGATAACGTACATTTGTCTGAGGCCACAACGGGCAGCGCAAGATGCTCCGCAGCTTTTTCTTCTATCAAGCTTAGTTGTGCGCCCGTGTCGAAGAAAAACAGAGCTTTCTCGTAAGAAGTGGTGTTGTGATTCCATACAGATCCCTCTGCTGTCATCAGTACAATTTGGTCGGGATCAGCAACGTTAGTGTTGCTGCTAAGAGAAACATTACTCATGGGTGAAAAGGCATTGATTGCTTTTGGAGCGCGTGCGGTATTGTACTGGGGACCATTTCTGCTGCCTGTATTGGCCTGTGCCTTGGCCGGAAGCCTTTGGAGTCTGCTCTCTTTCGTTGGTGTGCTTTTGAACCATTACCTCTGAATTCTTTCCCAAAGGAGAGAGAATATAAGCTCAGCGTGTGAACTTTTACCATACAACAGCGTTTGGTCGTCTGAGACCACTCCTAATGCATCGATGGTGCTTCTGAAGAGGATTGAATCGAGCTACGGCTGTGTCGCAACGTTTCACGAAACGGAGCGGCAATGCCCGGTGTTGTGCCTACTGTCTACCGTAATCAGCCTATCTGTGTTGTCATCCGCGTGCTGTAATGTTTCTGCGAAGTATGCGGGATTTATCGCTTTCATCAACTTGATGTTTATGCGTCAGCTCTTGGAATTCTTGATCGATTAAGTGGCTCTGATCGATCTCACTCGACTTTTTTCCTATGTCCTCATACATAACTTTTTCCGTAAGATCATGCTCGTATTTGATTTCCGCTAGACGAGTTTCAACGCGCATAGCATAGCATCACATTCTGTTAGGGCATTCTCATACATTATCTCCTTGGCAGCCTGCTGAAATTCCTTTTAAAAAACCGCTTTTTTCTGGCTTTCTTAAGCTCAGCGTAATCCTGTTCAATATTGACAAGAATATCGACAAGTTCATTTTTCGCTTCTTGGATGAGAGAAATCGCGTTCTCGAGCGAACTACTCTTTCGCGCAGTATGCAATTTTTTCGCTAGCGCTCTGAGGATAAATGGGCTCATTTGTAAAGCCGCGGAATGTATCAAGCTGTGATTTCAATTTCACCAGTTCCTCGTCGAAGACTCGACGTGCGGAAAAAATAAGGACATGATAACGTACTTTTAGTTTTCTGGTGCTCTCAGATTTTTTCCTGAGGACCGAACGTAGCGGGCTATGCCTGGCTACTAGCCTGGCTTTCTGTTTCGGCGTAATGCAAGAAGAAAGCGGGCAGCACGTTTAATCCGTGCGGCCGATGCACCAAAATGTGCTGTCTCGCAAACAGCAATCTTTATCTCCGAATGACGGTTTCAACCGTCTACCAACAATGCGATCTGACCGAGTGAGTAGCGCCGGAGCCGGGGGAGGAGCCCGAAGGCGTCGCTACCGCGACATGACCTGCATATATGCTTCTGACAGGTTCAAGGCTGAAAACTTTTGTTCACCGTTTAACATGTGGAACAGATCATCTGGCTTGGGCAGTGGATACTGGTTAATATCTAATTGCGGATTTATCGTTATCTTACAGTCTCCGCATATTCTAACTTTGCCTCCAGGTTTCGGGACGTCCACCAATAGGGTTGCCCTCCCCGAATGGTCAACCTGTGTTAAGGTGCCATTCGTCTACTAGCTCTTGGGGTGTCTCTTCTACTTTCGGCCGTAATGCTAGAGGAACCGGTCGTGCTCTAAAAAACTTCGGCACTGGCTCCATTTTAAACTTGAGCGTAGCTTGGGTGGTTTTACATCTTCCAACCCAGGCTTGATACACTTTCGCTGTCTTCTTTGATCTCGCAAGGGAACCCCAACAGGTCGATCCGGCCATTTGCAATGAGATGTACATATATGGACGTGTCTTGAGCCGCTGAATCCAAATCTGCCCTCGGAATTTGCGGAACGATTCTCTGAAGGGAGTTACGGACCATTTAATCTCTGCTCTGTTCGCACAAGTTGAGAACGATAACTGCATGCGGCAAGCGGCCGATGGCGTAGTGGATAGGCGCACTGCTTCAGAGACACAAGGTCGCATGTTGGAATCCTTGACTCTCGAAAATTTTTGCTTTTATTCAAAACACTTCATATGAGTCCCTAAAACGCTTCTGTTTGGCCAATTTACCTAGTTCTCTGATTTCCCTCAACGGATACGCCAGCTTCGGGCACAACATTACGACAGAAGAAAGCAACAACTGGCTGTTTTTCGTGCGGAATGCCACGTGTTGGTAGATCATAATCATGGGTGCTGACCATATCGGGTAATTTTGCACAGAACACGTGGACAGGATTTCGTTCAAAATTAAAAAAATTCATCACCGCTTCCTCTCTGAACTGGTGGAGAACTGTAACTGTACCGTGTGTGGGGAGTACTTCTGGCACTATTACAACTATTACTACCCCAAGGAACGAATACCGCATTAGTTCTCAGCGATGGCGCCATTTGACGCCAATATGGCGCCGGCGCCTGTAGCGCGGGCTCTAGGTGGTTTCAGACCGAGCGGATGTGATATTCGTGTTCAGGAGGTCGAATAACCCAACTTTCAGCCAAATCTGCCCCCGTAGAAAAAAGTCGATCCAGATCCGGCCTGTTTCCGGAAAATTGGGGTAGTAATAGTTGAATAGTGCCGTACTTTTGTATTCGCTGTGCTCATTGTGAGAGCTTGTTTTGTTTCCACCATTTCGTGGAGGAATACCACATGTGCTCTCAAACCATAAGATCTTCATTTCTTACTGCAAGCTTTAATAAACGGATATCCTCATAATAAAACTTCTTGAAAGGAAACAGAAAAGGCGAGTTGCTTGCTCCTGATGTCAAATAATTAAAGAACTAGGTAAATTGGCCAAACAGAAGTGTTTTAGGGACTCATATGAAGTGTTTTGAATAAAAGCAAAAATTTTCGAGAGTCAAGGATTCCAACATGCGACCTTGTGTCTCTGAAGCAGTGCGCCTATCCACTACGCCATCGGCCGCTTGCCGCATGCAGTTATCGTTCTCAACTTGTGCGAACAGAGCAGAGATTAAATGGTCCGTAACTCCCTTCAGAGAATCGTTCCGCAAATTCCGAGGGCAGATTTGGATTCAGCGGCTCAAGACACGTCCATATATGTACATCTCATTGCAAATGCCGGATTGACCTGTTGGCGTTCCAGCTTCTGCCCTTGACAGCGAGCTTCTGCCCCACTTTCGGCAAGGGCTTCTCCTGGATTTCATGTATACGCTTACAATGGGGTCCACAGGCGATCCTCAAAACTCGGATCATGTCTCTACCACAAGTGCGTGTAGCCCCGTCTAGCAGGTGTAGGTCCATCTTGGCTTTTCTGCCGTTAAACTGGACCCAAAACGTGCACACAGCGCCCGGGTCGATGTGCCCAGGTCGAGAGCAATTGGAACAAAACGCCGTTTGCCTCTTGAGGCACTGATAAAAAAATGCCCTCGACCTCCGCAGCATTGTGCTGCAACGACCGAGCTGTTGTTTACTCTTCTCTACTCTATTATTCTGCGGCTCTTGGTAAACCCGGGTTCTATTCTGCTCAAGTCGAGCTCTCAAAAGCGACAACTCTTATTTGCTAGCGGCCTCTCTATTATCGTGAACTACGGAGACGCCTACTTCTACGGTACCCTCTTTTAAGTGGGGCGCGTTCTTTCTCTCTCGCGTTCTCTCCTACCCTTTCTCGAATGCTTCAGCCGCCTCTAATTGTCAGATTGTCTCGTTCTAACAGTCGTTCCCTAGTTTCCACGGGATCTAAACCCCTTCTGAACACCATTATGACCATCGCATCGCGATGATCATTTATTTTCTTGAGCTCACATTCTGCTGCTGCCTTCTGCAGCTTGCGTAATGGTCTTGCAGGGCTTGTCCGAGGTAACCTCTGCTCCATCTCATTAGTTACGTCTCAATACGAGCAAGTTATTAAAGAGTCACCACCAAGTGCACCTTGGTGTACTGGCAAATATGCGCCACGTGCGCGTCCCCGGCCGATCTCCACTAAGAACCCGAGTTCCGTCACCTCAGTTAAAACAGAACTACCCTGAAACGTCGACGTCTTGACTGCCTTCTTGTAGTTTGCAGGTCTTCGCTTACGACAGTCTTCGTGAGTGCTGCTTCCCGTAGTTGATTGTGCAGCTTCTTATCCTCGGCGAACTACTGTCCTGATCGCAGCTCACCGAGGATAAGAAGCTGGGTAAGCCTGTGGACGAATACTGGAGCGGGAAACTCGTTATCGTACTCAACTGCATGTTTATATAGGGTTCATGTCTACTTCCATCCCTCACTCCCATCCGGCTTCATTTTTTTTCATCTTCTTCTTCTGCGCGGCCTTCCATTTACGTTTACACTACACCAGTCCCCTAACCCAAAACAAGTTTCCAGCCAAATGTCCCCCTTCGAAAAAAGTCGTTCAAAATCTGGGTCGCCATCGCCTGCATCAAAAATGAATATCACTCTCGTAAACAGGACATCGAATTACCTCAACGGTCAGAGTTCCACCAAAAAAATTTTTTATCTCAAGGGGGAGTAACTGTTGAACGGTGCCCATATTTCTAAATATTTTATAATAGCTTTCAGCATACTTTTCAACATACAACTTCAACATACAGTAGCGCTCAAAAGTATTCGGCCGGATGCTTTTTCGCCTCATAACTTTTTTCTCACCCAAGCGATTCCTTTCAATTTTAGTATGTCATACCTACCATTGTTACCAGTAAACAACAGCAGTTGAATCTGAACACAGTGTACGGTCTACAATCCTTTTGGGTAACGACTAAATTCAGCCCACATGGTTACCATACTGTTCAAATTTTTCGTGTTTTAAAGAGTTCTATGACATTGTGCAACAATGGATTCTACTCCTTTTAGTGACTGGAAAGAAGGCAGAACCTCCGACACAAAAAAAGTTGCCATGAAGGTGGAAAATGTCGGCTTAAAGACACTCCCCGCGATCAAGTGGTCCTCAAAATGACTTCGTGCTTTTTGGAACCCTCTACGCCTTGACGAAGATGATACCTTTCATCCCTCAATATGGCGCGATAAGGAAGTTATAGCGATTTCCACAAGGCTCGCTAGGCTCGCTGACACGGTAGGTGGACGAGGCGTCCGGTCCCGAGCTGCTTCCGTCCCTTTAAAGTATCCTATTTCGAAAGTCGGGACGCAATTGCGGCTGCCGCATCGATTTCTGGCAGCCACGTCCGGCACACTCGTCCAGGCCCCGCCCCCACTGCTAAAGGGAGGTCTGTGTTCAGGGTGTTCGCGAGGGTTTTTTTTCCACTGGGGGGTTACAAATGGGCCACTGCTTCGTTACTGGAGCACCAATTACCCGAACACTTGATCGCGGGAATTGTCTTTAAAGCGCGCCTTTCCCGAGTATTCTGAAAGTTTATAGACGCACACTGCCATCGGGGCCACAACAGACTGAAGTCAGCGTTTGGAAGACCATTGGAGCATGTTTGACATCTTTTCGCTAGGATAAACGCACCAACCACCGCTCGCAGGCTGATTCCGAGTCCACATGCGTCGACTTCAAAGCCAAGTTCAATAGCATTGATGAGATAAATCTCAGCAAATGGATTGCTAGAAGAACACTGAGAGTGCTAGGGTTAAATGGTAGGTGTGCAATGAAGAACCCGCTGTCCAGCGCAAAAATTCAAAGGGTCAAAGCAGAGATCGCTCTACGCCGCCTTCACGAAACACCCAGTTCTGGAGACAGCGTTCTGTTCATCAACGCAAGAATGTTGAGATCGCTGAGATAAATCGGTAACACACTTGATAACATTAGATTCAAAAACATTAAGCCCGCTCCCGTCAGTGGGTTAGACGTTGACTTCACCGCTCGATTTTCAGTGATGGTGGCGGAGAACGAGCTCCGCTTTGACCCTTTAAATTTCTGTGCTGAACAGCGGATTTTTGATCACACACCTATCAGTTAACCATGGCACTCTCAGTGTTCTTCCAGCAATCCATTTGCTGACATTCATCTCATCGATGTCACTGAACATGGCTTTGAAGTCGACGCATGTGGACTCGGAATCAGCCTGCGAGCGGTGGTTGGTGTTCTAATCCAAGCAAAAAGATGTCAGACATGCGGTCTTCCAAACGCTGACTACAGTGTTTGTTTTGGCCCCGATGACAGTGTGCGTCTACAAACCTTCAGAGTACTCGGGAAAAGCGCCTCTTTACACCGACATTTCCCATCCTCATAACAACTTTTTATTGTGCCCAAGGTTATAGTCTTCTTTCCAGTCACTAAAAGGATAGAATCCCATTTTGGCACCTAGAAACAATGTTATAGAACTCCTCAAAATACAAAAATTGTGAACAGTATGGTAGCTTTATGGACACTGGAATAGTTGTAATTGTTTATTACACAGGTACAGTCGCGATCCCTCAGACGAGGTAGGCGTAATTGCGTACTTCACTGGGACGCGACGGCGGCTGCAATAGGGGTGGCGGCCGATGCTGCATGGGGCAGCAACCACCGTGCTCTTTGCTCTCTGCGCCCCCTCTCCGCGAAACCGTGCCTCTCTGCGCACTCTTCTTCTCTGGGCTCTGCCCGCAATAGCCGGCTGCACCGCGCAGTCAGCTGATTTCAGCGATTTATTTTTCTATTTTGCCTGTTATTCTGCTAACTAGACGCCAAAAAGGAAAGGTGAGTTCATATTATTTACTCTAATTTAAGGTTTTATTGTATATTTTGCTTTCAGTCGCTATTTGACTGCAGTGACGG